CAGGCAATGGAGTGTGCAAGTGTCACATGTTTCTGTGATGTCAGTAACCCCCACCCCACCTCAACGTGTGCCCATAGACCGGCATGTCCATCCAGCCTTGGTGATCAGGGGAGCTCACTCCACAGACACCCGTGAAGAGATAAAGATGTGTACCCAATGGGGATGCGCATGGGTTCTGGACCTAAGTGGCCTGAATTCACTGACTGCTCCTCGGCTGGGAACTTCTTAACCTCTGCTTAACACAACACCTCACAGGATATAAAACAGAGACAGGAGGATGGCCTGTCTACTTGGAGTATGGTAAGCATGAATGAAGTGCTGTTATTATGCTGTTGAACTCCTAACCTCCTAAGCCTCGCTGGTTCAAACCAGCTTCTCAAAGCCTAAGAGTCTGTCTAGACTAGACACCCCTTCTACAGGTCCACACAGCAGCCAGCCAACTCAGCACTGTGGTGGTTCAGGGTCAACTTGACTGGGTCTTGGAGTGCCTAGAAATTTGACCAAACACTCTGGGTGCTTCAGGGTGAGATTTGAGTCAATAGGCTAAGTAAAATAGATACCCTTCCTCAGTGTGGGTGGGTCTTATCCAATCAGTTGAAGGCATGGGTAGGACAAAAGGGCTGAATAAGAGGGCATCCTCTTGAAAGACTGCCTTTGGGCAGCCGGTTGCCAGTGCTGAGGAAGCCCAGGACAGGTGGCGGGACTGTGGGTATGTGTTCAGCCCTGGGGAGTCTGACCTGGCCCTGGTTGCTGAGAGCACTCTCCCCTCCAAACTCCATCCAAACTGCAGATGCATGAGCAACTTGTCATTATTTTAAGCCTTAAATTATGGGTTGGTTTGTTACACAGTAGTTGGTATCTGAACACAGCAAATGTGTCATGGTAGAAGTCACCTAGCTAGGACATTCTGAGGGTTCTGCCATCACCAGAAACATCTTTGCATGTTTCCTCTGTCCTAATCTCTTAAGAGCCAAGTTCCAGGACGTGGCTATCTGGGGCAGGGTACTCAGTCTGGTACATGCTAGGGGAATACTACAGAAGGCTTAGGGTTTCTCAGCCTGGGGAAGAGGAAAAGGCTGTTGAGATGGGAGCTGAAGAGTCACTCTGGGAAAAATGTCCTTGCTATCCAGAGAACCCTGCTATGCTTTTGATAGGTGTCCCATGGGCCTGTGTGGTCTCTGTCAGTGGATACTGGAACTTTTTTTTTTTTTTAACCAAACAAAAACAACACCACATTTATTCTCTGTGACAGTTTTAAAGATGACTCACATCTTACACAAAAGAAGATGATGTTGGTTTAAATTGTTAAATATGTGTTTATAATATGAAAAATAAAACAAACAAAACTATGTCAGATGCCCATTTTGTGTCCAATAGTTTTTAGAAAAAAAACATATACTATTACCTGTCCATTAAAAATACGAAAATCATTAGGTATCATGGTTCATACCTATAATCCTGGCACTTGGATGCAAGGGTAAGAAGAGTGCCACAAGTTCAAAACCAGTCTAGTCTACATAGGGAGTTTAAGAAAAGCCCAGGCTGCATATTAAAAACCTGTCTCAGAGAACAATTGTTTGTAAAGAGGAGGGAACAAACCAGTAGCAGACAAAAGGGCTTATGAAGGCAAAACTCACAAGGCTCCGCACTTCCTGCCTTTGTGCGATCAGAGAGAAGCACACATCCTGACGTACTTCCTACCTATGTATGTATGATCAAGCACACATCCTGTGCCTTTGGGGCAACCAAACTTGTTTACCGATGGGAAAATACTGGCTTGTCATCTTACATGAACAACAGCCCCCAGCGTTCCAGGAAGTTATCTGTTCTGGGGCAAGTGGGGCATACAGGTTAGAGGCATTTTTGTTTTATGATCTCTGAAGCACAGTAGTTTAAACTTAAAACATAACGGTAGCCATCACAGGTGCTGTGCGATTGTGAGCAAGTGACTTAACCTTTTTGCCCCCTGCTTTTCTTTCTCATTTGCAAAGAGGGCACAATAAAGAGCCTTCAGATAGAGTTGCTGTGAAGGAAAGATGAACATTTGTAAGGATCCTGAAGTAGCTCCCAGCATGCACGCTAGTTTAAGCACGATTTTTATTGTAGTTAAAACCCCTTTCTTTCTCTGGCTTTTCTCTCTAAAAATAGGGCTGTCACTTTTGTTTTCTTTTTGGCACTCAACACTAAATTCAATTAGTTGATTTATTCAATAATTCATTTCTGTGTTTACTTTTATTTCTCACTCTGTGTGTCATACTGTAAAAAAATATCCCATTTGAACACCTGTCTTCGCTGGCTAGAGAGTGTGTGAGGGACATATGGCACAGTCTTGTCCTTGGACTTATGTAGCAATCAGCATTCAGTATGGGGACCCGACACAGCCCTGACCCCCTTCAGTGCCACTGACTCACTGACTGCTCACTGGTAGGGAGCACTGCCAGTAGATGTTGTCCATTTAGGGACATGCCAGCTGTGGAGACCCCTCCTGATCAGCATCATGTTCCTAGGCAAATCGGTGATGGCTTCCATCAGAGAAACAGTCCTGCCAGTCATCCTGGACACACTGACAGGCCATTCCAGCTCTGGAGCTACCTGAGGTAAGGAGAGGGGGGACACACTGCCCTAGGCTGTCACAGGGCCACTGTCACGGCTCAACTCCTCCCTCTGCTCACTCCAGCTCTCCCAGGCCATGGATATGGACCCCCAGGCTACTCCTTATCAATATCTTGTACTCTAAACTCCACCTTTGAGTGGCCTCCTGGGAATCTCAGCCCTGAGCTTGACAATGATCTGTTGGAGGACCCAGGAACCTTTTTCCACTGCTCTGCAATGACTCCTTCTGCAGAGGGGAGCGTTCCTTTCACTAGGAGTAGCAGATGACCTTCTGTCCAGGGCTGGTACTGCCACAGTTTCTCTCTCTTTGGGGACACGCATAAGAAAAGGGGAGCCATGTGACAGAAGAGACAGGCCTGGTCAGATGTTCTGTGAGCTGGTTGTTTTGTCAACTTGATACAAATCTCGACATACCTGGGAAGAGAGAATCGTTTTTGTTTTTCAAGACAGGGTTTCTCTGTGTCGCTCTTGCTGTCCTGGATCTCGCTCTGTAGACCAGGCTGGCCTCAAACTCAGAGATCAGCCTGCTTCTGCCTCCTCAGTGCTGGGATTAAAGGTGTGCGCCACCATGGCCTGGAAGAGAGAATCTTGAGGAGATGCCTCAATCAGATTGTTCTATGAGAAGTCGGTGGGACATTTTCATGATTAATGATTGATGTGGAAGGGCCCCGTGTGGACAGTGCCACTCCTGAGCCAGTGGTCTTGGGCTGAGCAAGCCATGGAGAGCAAGAAAAGCACACCCCTCCATGTTCTCTGCTTTATTTCCTGCCTCCAGGTTCTTGTTCTCCCTCAGTTCCAGCCTTGACTTCCCTCAGTGGTGGACTGTGATGTGGAAGTGTAAGCTGAAATAAATCCTTTTGTCCCCATGTTGCTTTATCACAGCGATAGAAATCCTGACTGTGACACTCTGTGAGGACTACACTGTGGACATGGCTTCTCTCAGTGAGAACTGGGGAGGACAGGGTGGGGGCACATCACACTTCTTCAGTATTTCTGCCCCATGTCCTCGAAGAGAAAGGAAGTAATGCTTAGAGACCTGGTCCAGGAAGACAGTCATTTTCACTCAGTGACTGGGACAGCAGGTATGGGTCCCATTTTAGAAGTACAGATTTGGAGAGAACAGCTAAAGCCAAGACCTAGAGCCAGATCTATCTGAGGCTAGGGGTCAGTCTAGGATCAGAATTCATTAAGAGGTCAGCATCAGATCCTGTGTTGGGTGGGAACTATAGTCTGGCCTCAGAGTTGCTGTGGAGAGTTGGTCCGGGGCAGTGTTAGTATGGATTCAGTTTGGTGCTAGCCAGGTGTCGGTTTGAGGACAAGGGTTAGGATTTGGTTTAACATCAGGGTTATGATCCAGCCCAGGCGTGAATCACAACTCAATCTAGAATCACTGTCCCAAGCTGGGAGTTTATTCTAGCTTCACTCTGGGAATCCTCAAAACTTGCCTTCGCCCTGGATGGAGCTGGATCCTAGCATTTGAGTTAGGCTGCTGTTCTGTGGAAGGGTTGGGCAACTCTAACCCAGGCTAGGCTTGGTCCGCAGCCTGTTTTAATAATGTTTATCGTGACATATATTTGATTGTGCAGCGTCTATGTTGACTTCAGCGCTGTAGATTCAAAGTTGAGCAATTACAGCAGAGGCCTCCTGGTTTGCGAAGCCTAAATAACTCACGCTGGGCCTTCACATTGACTTACCAACCCTGGGCTAAAGGCTTGGGAAGGGAGGGGATTTGAGTGTCTAGAAGATCAGATCCCTCACCTGTCTCACTGTTCAGAGCTTTCATGAAAGCAGATAGTCCTTAAGGGCTGGAGTGACTTAAGGGCAGTAGAAGGCCCGAGTCTCATGTAAAGCCTTAGTGCTACCAGTCAGGGCTAGAACATCTCGTGAGGCCTGTTTTGGTCCCATTGAAGTCCTATCTCAATCAGCTGGGAAGCACCAGGGAAAAGGGGTGTATAGGAAACAGCTACCTGGCAGGCTGTCCTCGTCCCCCAGACACACACTGTCCCGGGAAGTTTAGTTGCAGAACTGTGCATGCCCCCACCCTCCTGGCTGCCACAGGGCCTCCAGCAGGGCTAGGCTGCTCGCTCCGTTCACTCCTGCTCTCTTGACCTCTACCAGTGTTGACCCCAGGTGACTTGTCGGTCAACATACTGTGGCTCAGGCTGGCCTGAACTCACTCTGTAGCCCAGGTTGGCCTTGAACTCATGGCAGTCCTCTCCCTTCAAACCTCTTGGCACATCTACTCATCTGGCCTCTAAGTCTCATCTCACATTTTGTAGAATTGTCAGAGAAGTACTTGTATGGAGTGCCACAAGAAACATCTAGCAAATACCGTGTATTTGCTAGACTCCCAACATAAATTATTCTCATCTGTGTTTAAAAAAAGATTTATTTCAATTGCATGTGTTTGGGAGGAGGGTGTGTAGGCACCTAAGTACAGGTACCCACAGAGGCCAGAAGTGTTGTTGTGAGCTGTCTGACATGGGGCTGGGAACCAAACTCAGGCCCTCTAGGAGAGCAGAAAGTGCTCTTAACTGCTGAGCCATGTCTCCAGCTCCCTCATCTTCATTTGTATCCAAGAGGCACCACACTGCAAATGCACCTGTTGTGTTGTTGAAAGTTCTTAAACTGTAGCTTAGTGTTAATTCCTTGGGCTGTCCATAAATTTCAGTGCTAAATTCCATGTCCTGTGTCATATTCTTCATGGCCCAGTGGTGACTACTCTGTCCTTATCCCAGGCATCAGTGTCCTGCTTTGACTCAAGTGTAGGATTTGCACAGTGCCAGCCATTCTGGTTCCAAGAAAGAGTAGCTGACTGACCCAGGGTGGTTCTGTGGACTCCAGGATGGCCAGAGCCGGAGCATATCCATGCTGCCGAGTCTAGGGGAGGACTCCTTTGTCTTCTTCAGCTGCCTCCAGGCAGCTTTAGCCCCTCAAATCCAGAATCAGTGTCTCCACTGAGTGGCAAACCTGTTGCTTAAAATCCAGTGCTTTTTTAAGAACGTGAGTTTGGGGTAACAGTCGGGGGACTGGCATGGATCTCAGTCCTGCTTCTGCTTTGCTTTCTAGCTTCAGGAAGGCTCCTCTGTAATGGTGGTGCTTTGGCCTGTAGAATTCTTGGGCCCAAGTGCGGCCAGGACATTTGAAGAGTCGAGAGAAAAGCAAGGAGCAGTGAGCTGCCTGGGCTGAGCTGGCAGATCTAACTAGGCTGGGGCTCTCGGGAGGCTGGGCCACGCCATTCTTCCAGCAGAAAGGTGGCGAGAGCTGGAGGATCCCTCAGCTCTGACATCACCCCTTGTCCTGAAGGGAAGGATTACCGAGTGCAGCGCATCAGTGCCCTGGGAAGGACCTTGCCTAAACTCATGAAGGGGGGCAAAGACAGAAGCAGGGCTAACCCGGACTCCTGGCTCTTGTGTGGGAGAAACAAGCAGATGGACAGAATCCTCCCCAAGTCACTTGAGGCCCCTCACTTGGCTGTAGCCACATGGATGATCACAAAACCCTTGATGTCCGGGAACTGTGAGCTGACGAGGTCCACCTGCAGCTGCCTTGGGCCACTCTTGGAGGGGGTGATGTTGAACTGGATCAAGGCCCTCTCCTGAGGCTGCAAGGTGGGCACCCTGGAGGCAAGAGCAGGGGGAAAAGGCAGACAGTCAGTCCTCTCTCCTTGAGTCTAGCCTGCCTGGCTTTGCCCAGATCCTCAGGATCAAGAGCATTACCCTCGTCTATCGCTCACATTTCTCCCCTTTGGCCATGTTCTTCCCTCTCTGGTGCTGGCCCTGAGCAAGCCTTGCACTTCAAGTCTCCTTGGCTTTTGGCTCTAGCATTCCTTCTACCTTGCTGCCCTTTCCTTTCCTAACACACCAGGAGCCCAGAACCAGAGCCTCCCCTTAAGGAGACCTTCCCTTAGCATCAGAGACCTGTGCCTGGGAACCCTGTCTTCCTTGTCTATGCCAGAAAAATGCCTCATGTTATCATTATCATTTAGGGACCACTCCCAATGCCAGTGGCACCGAAACTTCTCCTTAACCCCACCCCACCTTCTCTTAAGGGCTGTCTCTGGTCCCCTAGAATGTGGGGATTCACCCCTCATACTCTTCTCATGGTAACAGCCATCTTAGTGTCCCTAATAACGTCCATGTGGCTGGGAGCACAGATTAGACTGTATTGAGTAGAGAGTAAATGAATGAATAAATGAAAGAATGGGTAAATGAGAGAGCAAAGTAAACAGTGGGTGGCTAATGAATGAACCAGTCAAAACTGAGCTGAGTGAATGAATAACCGATGAGCGAAAATATGAATAAAAGAGTGGATAATGAATGAATAAAAGACAGCAAATGGGGCTGGAGAGTTGGCTCAGAGGTTGAGAGCACTGGCTGCTTTCCAGAGGACCTGGGTTTGATTCCCAGCACCCACATTGTGGCTCATAACCAAATGTAACTCCAGATCCATGGGATCCCAGTGCCTTCTTCTGGACTCAGTGGGGACCAGGCACACACGGCACACAGGCATGCATGTAGCACAACAATCATATATAAATAAAAAAAAAAATAAAGACAGCAAGTGAACGTTAAGCAAGTGGGTAAATGAATGAAAATATAAGTAATATGTGTGAATGATCGATCTGCGAGGCAAGTGAAGTAATGGTTAAATGAATAAAGGCTGATGTTGTGGGCAGTAGGTGTGTCCCCAAAGCCCAGAGTCTCTCCTGCTACCTCCTCAGTACCTGTTCTTGGCCCAGCCCTGTCCTTGTCAATCAACAGTCCATCACTTACTCAATACTGAGCTGTCCTTGGAGAAGGCCACTGCCTTCTACCATCAGCTTACAGTCCTTCACGCTCTCCGAGAGGGGGTTGATCACCAACACTTCCACAGCAACTGCCACTCCTACCACTGCTGGGCCCAGCACCTGGAGAGGCAGCATCTGTGAGTCACCCAGCATCCTCTGCATCCCCACTTCCCCGAAGCCCATGGTTCAGGCTGGGCCAGAGAATGTGGCATCACTCGTAGCCACCTCTGCCTCCACACACCCTGTGAGAACGCCACAGTCTTCTCCACCCTTGAGGCTGATGCCTGAGGCTCAGACTCCAGTGTTGGAAACCCTCCACCAGTCCTGTCAGAAACAGGGTGGCATGTGGACAGGAGTCACCTTGATGGTGATGAAGTCCTCCAGAGTAATGTCCTTCTCCACCAGGAGCTTCTCTCCTTTACTGACAAGGCACATGGCAGCCAACAGGATCTTCTTGTCCTCCGTCAGATCTTCTTTGTACTGAGAGTAAGATATTGTGACTGGGATCTTCTTCTCTGAAAGGGAGAGCATACAGGAAACTGAACCCAAGGCTCAGAGAGGGTGTTTTCTTACCCAAAGTCCCACAGCAAGAATCCACATACACCTGGGTTCAAATCTAGGCCAGGGAGTATCAGGATACCAGGCTGTCACTCCAAGAGTGCCCAGACAGCTGCATGAACTCTTCATAATTATTCAAGATGGAAATGTTTGATACACCATCTGTCCGTCCCTCCTGGAATTTATTTACTGTCTATTGGGTGCTTTTTAGATATCAGGTCCAGAGAAGAGAGATCAAACGATGGCCGTCAACTTTCAAACTCATGGGGGCAACTTCCTTGTAATGTCTCCAAGCACTGCTTGGCCATGAAGGGCTGACTTTAGTCAGCTGTGGGCAGGCTTCACTAATATTCCCTGCCAGTACTCTCATACTTGAATTCCCATGGTCCAGATCTTCTGTGTGTGTCTCCCTCTCCCCAGCCACACACACCTTGCCTAGGCATTCTCTTCTTGCGGAGCTCACTACAAGCCATAGCTAACTCTTGGCTCTATTTGGATTTTTTGACCTCTATTTATCTCGTGTGTGTACATGTGCACATATGCAGTGAGTCCTCTTTTGCTTGCCCCGGGCTCTGTAATAATCTATTGTCCTGCCACTTATTTTCCTTTTATTTCTGACCCCAAAAGCATTTGGGTTTTTACTTAGGGAAGATCCTTAAATGTCCCCGTTAGCTCAGAGTTTTGCATACAGCATGCTGCTCCTATATGCCAGGAGGTTGATCTCTGTGTTAAGATGCTATAAGGCACATTCTATTGGTAAATTGTCACATGTTGTTTAGAGTCACTGAGAAGCTGGCTTCAGAAGTGTGGTTGTCCCCTTCCCCATTTCACACACAAACATATTTGTCTCAAAGTGTCTTCCAAGGTCTGGGGATGGGCTGCTCTACTTCAGTCTGTGACAGGGAGGGGGAGGGAACAGCAAAATACCCCAAGAGTGAAACACTGTGTCCTTGAGAAGAGCTGGAAGGCAAGCCATTTCCAACAATCTGAAGGAGCCTGAAGTGGGAAAGAGACACCACAAGTTCAGGCAGGGGGCACTCAGTCATGGAGAGAAAGCTCAATCGGGAACTCACTTGTCAGCCTCAACCTCCCCGGTTTTTTTCTGTTGGATGTTGTGAGCACCAGAATTGGCCATGGTCTCTTCAGCTGTAGCTGTGTTCTTTCACTTGGACACCTCACCAGAGGGGACACTACTCTGTCCTGACTCTCTTGATTGGGAATTCCAGCTGGCTGCCTTAAAGGGGCTTTCCCAGTTGATTTCTGGTGAATGTTTCAAGGTTTTTTTTTTTTATTTTAAAGTTTCAGTTAATGTGTGTGGGGGTTGGGCCTGCACCACTTGCATGCATGGTGCTGGTGGAGGACAGATGGCATCAGATCTCCTGGGACTGGGGCCACAGGTCATTCTGAGCCACCAGGTGGGCACTGGAAATCAAACCTGGGTCCTCTGGAAGAGCAGCCGATGCTCTTAACTGCTGAGCCATCTCTCCAGCTCCTTTGCTGGGGTTTTTGTGAGTGCTCAGTTTGAATCTCTCTCTCTCTCTCTCTCTTGATTACTTAGCAAATTCACTCATTAGAACAGAAAATATGTTATAGTAGATCATTCCCTGAGCCACACAAAACAGATTCTCCCTTGTTTGCTGGGCTCCCTTACTTTACTGGGTTATTACTAGAAGAATCCTTGCTACAACAATAATAATTTTGGAAACAAACTTTGATTAAAGGACTAGGGTGTACTGGGAACCTGGAAGCACTTTCATGGATGAACTAATAAAATCCTTTTAGTTCATGCATAGATATTATAACTATTATCCTCAACTTACAGTAATATAAAAAATAATGAAGATGTGGATAATATATGTTCATTAGATAATTAGGCCAAATACTTTATATTTATCATTTACTTCTTTCCTGGTCATAGACCATGATTCTTCAAGAGTGATCCTGGGACCAGCATCATCAGAATCAACTGGAAACTCATTGGAATGCAAAGTTCCATCTTGGAGAACCAACGTATGCTGCCAGTGATGCACTTGGGCAGAGTGTTGGTCCCAGTTCAGACCCTGAGAAAGCTGGCCCCTCATGAAGTGCAGATCCCCAGTCATGAACTCCATTCTCAGTTAAGAAACGCTGAGTCTCTTTCCCTCAAGTAGTGATTCTCCACAGCACCTCAGCCAGCTGGAAGTAATAAACAGCGACTGAATATCCATCCAGCAGATAACCTTTCTTCTCAAGCTCACATGGAACATTCACCAAGACAGATTATATTCTAAATTCATAAATAACATCTTAATAACTGTGAAAAATAGAAATAATGCAGCGTGTGCCCTCAGATCATGGGGAATCTAATAGAAAACAATAACAAAGAGAACTGGAAAATCCACAATGCTGGGAATTAGGGGATATGCTACTTTAAATAAAAAAAAATGAGCTTTGCTACTTAACTCAGGCTGGCCTTAAACTCATGCTCTATCTGCATAAGCCTCCTGACCACTGGATTAGATGTTTGTTCCACTGTGCCTAGCTCAATACACTTCTGAAAGAATATGAGCCGAAGAAGAAATGACAAGATAAAAATTTAAATATTTTAAACAAAATGAAAATAAAAATACTTTGTGAGGAATGTCAAAAGTGGTGCTTAGAAGGAAATTTTTATTATATATGTGTGTGTGTGTGTGTATGTGTGTGTGTGTGTGTGTGTGTATGGCAGATTGAAAATTATTAATCTAGGTATCCACAGAAAAATGGAAAAATTAAAGCCAACATATACCAGAAGAAGAGGAGTCTAAGAGCTGGCCTGGCGGCAGGGGTCTACAACCATCGCTACTTGGGAGGCTGAAGTAGGAGGACCACCATTCAAAGCCTGCTGAGCCTACAGGGTGAGTCAAGGCTAGCCTGGGTAAACTGGTGAGACCCTGTCTCAAAATAAAATGAAAACGTGGAGGGGGCAGGGATGTTACTCAGGGTGAAGAGCCTTCAAAGCATAAAGCTCCACACTCAATCTGCAGTAGGACAGCAACCAACCACCAGACAAAGAAAAGAAGAAAGGAATCATACAAAAAGAGCACAACACAAAAGAGAGAGAAAGGGAATGACATTAATTAGGGTGGAAATCAATGAAAGTTAAAGTCAAAAGATAAATCAGTATTGAAAATCAACCAAGCCTAAAGCTGGTCTTTGAAAAAAAAAATACCTTGATTTTGTTAAAAAAAAAAATTAAGTTCAGTAAAAGGGTACCTACGAAGAGCTTATAAAGTGAGGTATGATATACTAGGAAGAGAGCACAGCGTGGCGACACTTAATTAGAACTGTGCTTTTCACAAGGCAAACAGGCAGGGAGCGTTTAGAAGGGAAACCTGTCAACAGTTTGTAGGTAGGTGGTGAGATGAGAGGCGATTTTCTCGTTTGCTTTTGAGTTCTTTAATGAATATGTATTATTTTGAACATGAAAAAAACGCTAAAAGCCAGTAGATGTTAATTTATTCCATTACACAGTGTTATTTTGTGATTTGGATTTTTGTGACAAGAAATGACAAAAAGAGCTAAAAAGCGTGTGGTACCTCCTTCGTGCGTTGTTAGCCTGTGTAAGCCCACGAGGTGTATTTGCAAGGGACTGGTCCAGAGGGGTGACAGCAATCAAACCCTGTTCAGCTGTATCCTTAGAATCCAGACAGGGGTGAGAGAAGCCAGACAGACTGATGATACGCACAGACGTACACAATGCACCCGTGTATTTAGAGAATTAGGAAAGACACGTAAGGACAGAGACAGAAATGGGAGACATACATACAGAGAGAAGAGCGACACACAGCTAGGGAGACAGAAAGAGGGACAATATGTGTGAAGAGTGAGGGAGAGACAGAACAAGGAGAGAGACGAAGTGGGAAAGGAAGGAGGAGCAAACAAACGGGGCCATCTGGGAAATCACGCATAACGCATGACGTGTTCAGGGCTCATGAAAAACATTCCTGACTGATGGAAAGAAAAGCAACAGGCCAGTTGAAAACCATTCAAACCCTTTCTAAAGGCCCAGGGCCTCGCCATTTCACAGTGAAATGCCAAGTGTGGCTTTTAGGCTAATGCTCCACCAAGTGAGCATCCCCGGCATGGCATGAGCCGTCTCCTGTGTGGCCTGGAGACCAAAGGCTGAGTGCTGAGGTGCTGGCGCTGGCAGTGTTCCAGGCGTGGAACCCTAGCCCCTCTCTGCCCTGGGTCTGGAGTTCCTCCAAGCCTGGCTGTCTGGGTTCGGGTCCTGCTGTCACATGTATCAGGTGTGAATTTGAACTCTGGGTGTGGGTCTACTTCTCTGAAGGATGGAGCCATTGCTGGTATCTAGGATGTGTGTGGACTTTAGAAGAGTGACACAGAGCACGTCCTGTATTCTGTGACATGCTCCCAGCATGTGCTTATTTGGTCTGTAAATAATCACTTTGGTTGTGATGACTAGGTGACAGGTCACCTCACCCCTAAGGCCAGTTTGCCACTGGCTGACTGTGGGCTTGTGTTGCCATTACAGTCAAGTGAGCCACACGGTCATGATTTCCTCCCCTGACCTTCAATTTTTTTATCTGTAAAGTGGGGGCAAGAGACAGGTACTGACATTAAAGCTTCGGGCCATCCTTCCTGGAGATGAACGTCAATCTGGGAGTCTCCCTCTGCTGCCCATCCCCCAGTCAACTTGGAACAGGAGGTGTATTGGCCAGGTCCCACTAGGCCACCCTGACCTTACCTTCTTGTGGTCCCAGCTTCACTGTGTGGGATTCACGCAGGATCTCTGCCACGGGCTTGCGGGTGTAGAGGATGGTAGCACCACTTAGATTGACTCGGACCCGCTGGGCCCTGGAGGTGAGGCTGGTCAAGCACAGAGCTAGCTTCAGGTCCTGGCCGAGCACCGGTGGCTCCAACACTTTGAACTTGCCAGTGATGCTGGGTTTGGTGGCCGGTTCCAGGAGGTCATCGCGCCAGACACCGCGCACACCGGCCCTGCGGATCCGCCTCCTCCTCCCCCAGGCTTCGATGCTGAGCAGTTTCTTCACAGCTTTGCTGTACACTTGCCTCTCCTTCCGGGACCCTGCAGGGTATCCTTACATCAGACACAGGCAGCACTCTCCCTCAACCCAGGTCCAGACTCTGTTGCTCTGGGCAAACCCACCACTTATTGCCACTTTATATTCCCATGACTCTTGAGGGCTTGAAATGGAAGCCCAAGAATCATAGGGAGCCCTTTGCCAAATGCCCATGTTCGCTTCTCTGTTTAAATATACTTTACAACAGTTGCTAACACATCAGGTCAGGAAATTTCACATAAAAATGCAGGTTTTCAGCATCTCTGACAACTGGGTGAAAAGAAACTCATTATTGCCATCATGTAACGGGATGCTGATTTCTTCTCAGGCCAAAAACCATCCCAAGACTCCACATTCTGAATTCCAGAAAGTCTCTGCAGATGGCAGATCAGCTCTGTGGGGAGAGCTCCCCACCCACTACCTACCCCGATGCAACAAGAGGACAGAAGGGTGGAGATTTCTGGCAGAGATGGGAACTAAGGCAATGCTGGTGCCCGTGAGGTATGGATGCTCAAGAGAGTCGAGGCGAGGTTTGGGATGTAAACGTGGAGCACCCTACCCACAGTTTCACCAGTGTTAGGGTGCCTCAGATTGTCTGGGCAATATCTGGAGGGCATGCTGTGGTGGGCACACCAGCCCTGGTAGAGACATTCAGAACAGACTCACCCTCCCTCCTGTAACTGCTAGCATCCCTGCTCTGGTTTGTGCTCAGGGAGCAGCAGGGACAAACTCTGATTCCAGTTTGAACCAGATCTTAATCACTTGGCAGCATGTCTTAACAAACATAAGTGACTGGCCGTATGGGTCAGATTACCACCCCATCCAGGGACCTGCTGCCCTATAGGAAAAGGAGATCGTCAGAGTACAGTGTTGGAGGTGGCGATGAGGAAAACACCCATCTTGTTTTTGTACCCCAACAAATGCAAGTTCTTCCATAACCAGGGACTAGGGCTGTGGCAGAGGACTGGAAGGTGACGAACTCCAGTGACAGCTACTGTTGTTTTGCGCTGTGCCTAGTCCCTGTTTCCGACCTGTGCCATTGCTAGCCCCTGCTCCTGTCTCCACGATCACTCTGCACAACTGTTAACCCATGTGCATGCCTGTGCAATCCTTGGCATATGGCAAGCGTTGGAGGAAACAACACTATTCTTGCTGTATATGGGAAAGCTAGCCCAGAAGAGGTGTGCAGCGAGCAGAGAAGGCAGGTGCCGGCAGCATAGACAGCGCCGAACTGCGGCCGTCCTCACATTTGGAGGGGATCCGGCTCCAGATTTTCCGTGGGCCTTCTGCAGCCCACAGACCACCATGGGGAGGCTGATAAAGTCTGCTCCATGGCGCCCACCTTCTGGATACTTGTAGAGGCCTGTGATGTCCACACGAGAGTCACTGCCCACTGCCTTGGTACTGATGCACCTGCCGATCTTCTTCGTGTCTGAGTACACGCGCTCCCGCCTCTTGTCCTCGTGCCACAGCCAGGTGATGTAGTCTGCGTTGACCTCGGCAAAGACGAAGGGGCCATCGTGGGCTAGGTGCACATCACCCTCACGGATGGCGGTGACTGAGGCAGGGCCGCACTGGAACATGCCTGGGCAGGAGGAGGAAAAGGATGAGCAGTGTGCTGCCAAGGGGGTCCGGGCCCACCCAACGATCCCTACCTTCACTCTCTTCTTGGGGTGTGGCGTCCAAAACCTGCCAGCCATCATAGGAGGGGCCCAGGTCCTGTCGCGCAAACCAGCTTTCATTCCAGACGTGGAAATTCCTGCCAGAGACACACGGGCAAGGCGGCTGTGTGCATACAAGAGGCCCAGAGAAGGGAAGTCCCTACTTCAGACCAGCCAGTGTTGGAGCTGCACCCCATGACCCACTCATTCACTTGCTCTGATGGACTCATTCACATTTGTGTGTGCATGATTGCGTGTACACATACCAACAACCTGCTTTCAAGATACCAGAAATACAGCTGTAGGGAAGACCAAAGATCTTGCCCCCACCCAGCTCACGCTGCCTGGCTAATGTAAGTATATGTGTGTGTGTACATGTGTGCATAAGTGTGCGTTTATATGTGTGCATCTTGCGTGTTTGGATGTGTGTGTGCTTCTATGCTTATGTGTCTGCATGCTTGCATATTTGTGTGTGTTTATGCCCTTGTGTGCATGAGGGCTTTTATGTTTGTGTGTGCTTGTGTGTTCCTGCCCCTGCATGCATGCAAGTTTGTGGGTATTTTTGACCATGTGTGTATGAGAGCTTGTACGTTGGGGTATATTTGTATGCCTGTGTGTTTGCATGTTTTTGGTTTTTTCATGTGTTTATACATCTTCCTACTTGCGTGTTGGTGTATGTTTTGTTTCTGTGTGCTTATGTGTATATATGTATGTACGTATGTATATATATGTCAGTGTGTATTTATGTGTGTCTCTCTGTGTGTACAAGTGTGTGTAAGTATGTGCATATGTGTATATCCTTGTGTACACACGTGTGTGTTTTTATTTTAATGAAGATGACAGGAAGACAGGGACCCGCAAACACTGTAATAAACACTGTGCAGAGAACGAGGGCCTTGTACCAGGAAACGGCTGCTGGAAACATGCTGGAAACATACTCTAGGTAAATGACTTCTAAGATGAGGCCGATATTCAAAGGAATCAGCCAGAGAAAGACTGAAGGGAACAGCATTCTGGATAGGAGGAACAGTGTAGATAAAGGTCAGGAGACAGGAAATTGTGCTCAAGAACTAGGAGATGTGTAAGTATCTTGGGAGTGATAAATAGGAGGGTAGGTAGGGTGTGGGCTGTGCAGACATTGTGTAGGCCCTGGTGAGGAGGGCTTGACTATTTTCAGCTTCCTGTGCTCACAGTGAGAATATGAGGTTAGGAACAGTGGTATTACTTGCACACGGCTACACGGCAGACAGGCAGCAGAGGGAAACCAGATCCTGCTTTACTGAGCTGGTGTTAAGGTGGCAGTGAAATCCTCTGGGGAGGCCGCTCTCACTGAAAAATACATTGGTAAACATCTGGGGGCCAGAGGGAGGTGACAACATTGGGAAGAGAGGTTTGTATAAGAAGAAAGAAGGATCCAGTACTCAGGACTGGACTGGGCAGCCCCTGACCCCGATGCTCAGTGGCCCAGGACCTACCACATGCTGTCTTCTGTCAGGTCCTCCAGGGTCCGTCCAAAAGAGTCCACATATTTGTCCACACTCAGGTTGCCATCAGTGTCATGGGCTGAGTTGAAGTTGGACACCACCCTGGTTGCGATCCCCAGGCACCTGAGGACTGTGGAGTAGCAGGTCAGAGGGAGGTGCCCAGCTCGATGCACCCTGCTCTGCCTCTCTTGCCTCAGTCCCTGGTCTCTCCACTGTGGCTCTCCTCTCTCAGAACCACCAAGTCCTCTGGAGTCTCTCAGAGGGCTTTGCTGGAGATACTACTGTTACCCTTGTCTGGGTAGGAAGGTTTTAGATCCACACGGCAATGCCATGAACCCTTCTGAGGGGATCCGAGGACCACAGGGAGGATTTATGCTAAATAAAACACCAAATGCCAAAGAAACGAACTGTTTTCTCTGTTCTTTAACCTGATTTCTCTCTCCTCTTTATTAACGAAAACTGATTGAGGTACATGCAAATCTATGCAAACACATGCAAACCAAGGGGCATACGTGCTGCTGAGAGGCTTTTCTTCCCCTACCTGTGCACATGACTCCAGCAAAGACCCAGCACTGGCCGTACTTGACTGGTTTGTATCTGCCCTTGAACCACTTCTGCAGGATGGCCACACTGCCACGCCAGTTCAGTGGGCTGGTGCCACCGCCATATTTGCCCTGCCACTGGCCTTGTACCACACCCCGGTCATTGTTGCTGTTCACCTGGGCAGAGAGGGTGTGAGTCAGTCACTGGGCCGGCATCTCACCTTCATCATCAAATCATCTGCACTTGGAATCCCAAGTCAGTGGGGTCGCCAACGGGTTTAAGTTGCCTGAAAGTTAGGGCACACTGCTTTCTTAAAATACCACTCTGTGTGTGTGTGTGTGTGTATGTGTGTGTGTGTGTGTGTGTGTGTGTGTGTGTGTGTGTGTGTGTTTGTGTGTGTGTGTCTAGAATGTACAGCACATGATTGGCATGCAAGAGGCCTGGGGTTTGATCTCAAACACCTCCCCAAACACAAAACTAAATAAAGCCTATTTTTGGGAGACCTTGCCTTGGAGGAGGTGGGAATGGGGGGTGGGTTGAGGAGGAAGGCTGGCGGTGGGAGGAGGGAGGTCAGGGGAATCTGTGGTTGGTATGTAAAATGAATAGAAAATCTCTTAATAAAAGAAAATTATTTTAAAAAATAAAGCCCATTTTTACACAACTTATACTTTTCAATTATCTTCAATTTGGATAATCTGTTGTCAAAAGTCATCTACGATTTGGGAGCATTTCCTGCTTTAAATATCTGTATGTTAGTTAAATTTGGGGCTGCCAGTGGTACTGTAATCATAGCGGCAGTCTGGTGCCCGCTGAATGCTACTCTGTGTCAAGCATGGTCCTAAGGATTTTACGTCAAGAGAGTTAACTTGTTTTAAGTCCAGTGTAAGGTCTTTTATCTTCCTGTATCTGCTGTGTCCCTTTTCCCCAGAGGAGAAAAGTGAAATTACAAGGGATTGGGGGACCTGCCTAACTGGGTTAGCAAAGGGGTGATCCCTGAGTTCAGGACTTGCTGTGACTTGCAGCCTGGGATCCTTCACTGGTGTTGACTCTGACTCCATCATCACTCTGAGGTCTTGGGGGACCAAGGGCATCTGAGAAATACAGCTTTACTTTTAGAATCCCATGACCTTGACATCCACATGGGGTTGAGGCTGCTATTAATGAGAGACTCTCTCAGAGGACCAGGAAAGCTGCTGTGAGATTGTGTCTCCTAGAAACAACCGGGAAGCTACACCCATGATACCTCAACAGTATGGCTGCCTAAACAGGATCTGAACGACAACACCCATAGACGTGCTAACTCAGAAGGGGGAAATGATGAGACCGGGAGAAATGGTCTTCCCCAGGGGTGAGCTCCCTAATTTGTTATACAGTACCAAGTGCTCAGTCCTAAAATCATATACACACAAGTAACACTAAACAGACCAAGCAGATTGTATTTACATATTTAAATAGTATATATTTTAGCACCACACACACATACACACCCCAATAACAATGGAAGAAAAAGAGACCATGCTTTTGAGAGGGAGCAGGGGGAGTGGTACATGGAGGGGCTGGAGGGCAGAAAGGGAAGGGGTATAATGATGTAATTGCATTTTAATTAAAGAAATAAAAAATAATAGAAAAATAGTAGGCTCTCTTCCGGCCTTTTGTGACCTGTAGCCTCCAGCTTATGATCAGTTAAAGTTAATACTCCTTCCTTGGAGAAGTGGGGCCTGGGCCTCTACACTTTTGCCTGAAATGTCCTGGGACTGCTTTGACCACAGAAGTGAGATCACTGGCCAGTCCCAGTTTCCAGTCCCCGCCAGCCTGGAGGCCTGAGGGAGGGCTGGGAAGTCCAGCAGGCATGGCATGGGCAGGAAACAAGGAGCCCCCAAATACCAGAGTTAAAGGCTTGAGATAGATGACTCTAGCCAACCACCTTGGGGATGGAGCCACAACCACCCAGGAACCCCCAGCAGAAGCATCCAAGAGCTGGGGTAAGCGAGGCCCATGGTGTCCTGCCAAGTTCTTGACCTACAGAAATGACTGTAACACGGGGTTTGCTAGCACAGACTTTGGGTGTGGTTGGTTATGCAGCAGTATGAAAAGCAAGAGGTGACTTGGTAAGATTCTTAGGGTTCAGTGCTGGGACTAGTTTGGGGTATCCTTGAAGGAAGGCTATGTAAGGATGGTAGTGGCCTCCTTACCATAGCACTGATGATTCTGGTAACATAGACTGGGTCATGGCGGTGGGACACATCCATGGCTGGGTCATCCTGGTGACTAGGACTTCGGTCCAGGATGGAGAGGCAGATGTTCAGGATGTCCTCTTCAAACTGCTCCCAGAGAAGCTGTACTCAGAGGCCAGGGCCTTATCCATATTCTAGGCCCTCCCGCAGCCCCACCTGATCTGTGGCTTGTGTTTGTATCAGTTTGCACCAACTCCCCCTGGGGACATTAAAAATCCTTCTTCAAAGGGTCATCTTGGAACCAGAAGCTCAACCTTCCCAAGATTTCCCATGATGGTCCTTGAGCCACATACCTACTTTACTGACACACTACTTTGCACTACATGTTTCATGGACATTTGGACCAGCTGGTAACATTTAACAACTAGGATTTTCCATTCAAATTATCTCTGAGAATCTGGAAGGTTGAACAACGCTGGGCTCCCATGGTAGGAAGAGGTCGTTGTCTCAATTTCCAGTGTATTATCACTGACCAGTCCCTGGGCCCTTAGTGCTTTTGACCCCCAGCCTGTCCTTAGGCAGTCAAGTTCCATGTGGAGTTTCCACCAGCAGAGTCCCTTGATTTCTACTCTCAGTTGCTTGGGCTGCTCCCATCCTGCCCACCCCCCTCCTGCCCATCTAGGTCTTGCCCAACTCTGCGGATCTGAACCTACTATCTATCATTCCATATGCGGTTCCTTTCACCTTCTCCTGAGCTGCTTTTGCTCCATTCCATACACCCCCCCCCCCCATTTTCTTCACCCACTGGGACTGGTCTTGTAGCTACAGTCAGCCGTATGTGTGTAGGTCCTGTATCCTTGTGTCTGAATTGGATATATGTATGGTTTTTTCCCTTGTCATTCCTTGAACAATGCAGCGTAACTATTCAGCATCTCCACTGTTTTGGCATTAGGAGCGACTTGGAAAGAAACCAAACACACACAGATATCCAGGTCCCACACAAATCTGTCTCTTAGAGAAGGGACTTGGGCGTCTGTGGGTTTTAGGGTCTGCAGTGGGGACTGGAACCAGTTTTCTTCAGACATGGACAGGCTCTCAAAGCAGAGTCTCAGACCAACAGTGTCAGCATGACTTGGGAACATGCTTAAAATGCAGATTCCTAGGCCTGGCCCTACAGCTGCTTAAGTCAGACTCTCTGAGGGAGGAACCTGGCCACCTGTGATTTTAGGAGATCCCCTGTGACTCTGATACATGCTCTTGCTTGAGAACCACTGATTGAAGCTACTTATATTTCTGACTTTTAATTCTAAACAGTATCCAAAGTAGCTCCCCCTTTCCAAGGGTCCAGGATAGGCCTTAGCATGGGGAGGGGGGCGTGTGATGGGTGGTATTTGAGTGAATGAGTGAATGAATGAATGAATGAATGGATGGATGGATGGATGGATTTGCCTGCCTTAAGTCAGCCCAGCTTGTCCCTCCTAAGAAGAGGTGGGTAGACAGAAGTCTCCCAGGCTGCCTTTACCACCCCAGCCCTGGGCCACCCTCTCTGGTTGTGCCCCTGAAGACCTGCCCATAGTCCCAGCCTTGGTCCACCCCCTCTGGTTGTGCCCCTGAAGACTTGCCCATAGTCCCAGCCTTGGTCCACCCCCTCTGGTTGTGCCCCTGAAGACCTGCCCGTAGTTCCAGCCCTGGGCTCGGATGTGCTTCTCCACTCCTCGGAAGATGATGCCACTGTCGTTAAGCACGTACTCTTGCCTCTCTTCCTCTGAGTCCAGAAACACATCGTCCTCTGAAAAGCAGTCAGCAGGCCATGGGGGCTGGGGCTTTGTCCCTACTGGCCTGGGAAGGGCTTAGCTATATGAGAGAGCCTGAGGGCTGACATGGTCAGGACAGGGAAAGTGGCTTACTGGCTCCATGCCCCTCTCCACTAAGACAACTTTTCTGGGTGTTTTTTCCTCCCAAGCAGGGCCTAACCCTTTGAATCCTGATCCATCTGATGTCCCACCTTGATGCCAACAGCAGCCTTATAGTTTCTAAACATTAATAAGGTCCTGATCCTAGCCACCCCCTGCCGAGGCCTTGTCATGGGACTAGGTTGCTGCACTAGGCAGATGAATTCCCACCTCATCCGCAAGAGTTAGGCGCTGTTATTATTCCCACCTCGCAGGTGTGGAAACGGCCTCCTTCAGGGATGCGGCTTAGAACAGCCTGACCTGCCCCACATGCATGCATGCTCTAGACATGCCTGACCTGCCCCACATGTATGGATGCTCTCTGCATTTTAGAGTAGCCTGACCTGCTCCACATGTATGGATGCTCTAGAGCAGCCTGACCCGCCCCACATGCATGCATACTCTAGACATGCCTGACCCGCCCCACATGCATGGACGCTCTCTGCATCTTAGAGCAGCCTGACCCACCCCACATGCATGGACGCTCTCTGCATCTTAGAGCAGCCTGACCCACCCCACATGCATGGACGCTCTCTGCATCTTAGAGCAGCCTGACCTGCCCCACATGCATGCATGCTCTAGAGCAGCCTGACCCGCCCCACATGCATGGACGCTCTCTGCATCTTAGAGCAGCCTGACCCGCCCCACATGCATGGATGCTCTCTTACCCACTCTTGAGCTTCTCCTACTTTTCTCAGCCCCCATTTGACCTCCTGGCTTCTCACATCAGAAGCCTCTATCTTCCTGGCCCTCTCACACAGGTTCTATTGTCATGCCTGATATTGTGGGACCTGTATCTGGTTCCGGCTCTTGTCTTCCTATCCCTTATCTTGCTTCTAAGGCTCCCCCCTCTGCCCCCCACGGATAGACCTGCCTCTGAGGACATGGACGGACATACCACCTCAACTTTCTTTTAATATTATCTGGAGGTCTGTGAATAGCTAAGAAAGTGCCAAGAAAATTGATTTTTAGAGTTAAAAATAAATTTCAGCAAGTAGGTTAATTCAGATCTTCCAGGGGACCCTCGGTCTCAGTTATGGAAGCTCCTACCTGGGCACCAGGGATTGAACAGGAGAATAAAGTGGCCCAGCCTGTGGTCACTGTGTTTCCGGCGGGAAGAGGCCCTGGCACTCAGCAGGTATCGGCCAATGACTGCATTGGAAGGGCTCGCAAGGCTGACGGTGATGGTGTTTTCTGTCTGTTCCCCCTTTGCAGCTGTCCAGATGTCACCTATTTCTAGCTCTGCTGTCTGGAATATGGCTTTGGTGTGAAGAGCCTCAGATGCGTGGGGCCCTGGCAGGGAGGAGAAGGGATCAAGAGACTCTACTCTTAAATAGGTTGCTTTAGAGAAGCAGAAATGCCATAGGCCTAGAAGCCCAGAGTTTATCCTCCAAATGCTGGAAGGCTGGAAAGGGAAGGACTGGGCAAGCTCAGGGAGCCCAGGGGGAGAGTGGACACCTCCCAGCAGCCTTGGCTCTCAGCTATCCCTTGGGCAAAGGAGAAAGTGACAACTAGCCTCTTCTCTGGCTGGAAAAAGAAAGGATTTAGGCTCCCAAAGTGCGTTAGTATTTTCCACGACCATCAAGAGCCCTTTACATACATGGATTCCTTTACATACAGAGGGCTCCAGAAAGGTTACCTCACACAGCTGGCTGCTGTGTACTGGTGGCATTTTCCACCTTTCCCTTGGAAATGATCAGAAGCCCACTTCCCAGGGACCCGCTTCCCTCCAAAGCCTGGGCTACTAACTGAAGAATCTCAAATTACTGGTCATAAAATCAGTAGTCTGGGGACCACCAGGGGTTCTGGCAAGGCCAGTTACCTGTCTCCACAGTGAAGATGAGGGCCTCCTCGCTGTCCAGGACTCCACTCAGCTCCAGGGTGAGATTAAATAACTGGCCCCTTCGAACCACCAGCTCAGGGCAAGGGTAATCTTGGGTGTGGTGGGCTGCACCATTTTCTGAATGCTGCCAGTCCACCTTGGTGATTCTGACCCCTGAGCAGGGAGAGGAAAGAAGTGAGGTCAAGCTTCTGAGGCAACTTCGTCTGTCTCCGACTGTCCTCCATCTGCTTCACCGTGTCAGTACTGGTCCGTCTATTTATGACATACCATTGGTTCTCTTAAATTCTGTAAAGTCCTTAGGCCTTGAATCCTAGCCAAGGTAGGTGGATCTCTGTGAATTTGAGCCAGCCTGGTCTACACAGCAAGCTCCAGGCCAGCCAGAGCTACATAGTGAAACCCTGTCTCAAAACAACAAAAACCCCAAGCCCCAAACAAACAAACAAACAAACCAACAAAAAACAAGCAAAAGACTCACACAAACAAAATGCAAAAATCTGAAAGTTGAAACTAGAATGCAGTTTCTTGTTCAGATTCACCTGAGAACATGGGTGTACCACCTCAACTTTCTTTTGCTATTGTCTGGAGGTCTGTGAATAGCTAAGAAAATAAAGAAAATAAATTTAAGCAAGTAGGCTAATTCATATCTACAGAATGCCAAAGATTGGTGACATATTCTTTCCATCAGCTTGCTGTCTGGGTGCCGAGATAGATTGGTGAACAAGAGAGACATGGTGCTGTCTTCAGTGATTGTATGGTAAAGCTCAGTGCTCATGAGCGGGGCCTCTGAGTCAACTGCAGTGACCAGAGCTTGACTTGACCATCTATTGGATGAACTACTTTCTCCTTGAACTATCTATAGCTTACTTTCCTTCTCAGTAGGATGGGGATAATGATGCCATTGGAGTGGTTCTGAGGACAACTTCTTGTCATTTAGATCACTCAAAACATGAGAAATAAATATTCATCGTTATGTTCCAAATGAGCTGGTGCATCACCTGAGTGGTTGAGTCCACATGTGGCTAATTACTGTTTGGACACATGCTGTCAGGAACACAAGAGCTGAAAGGACAAGGACAGAGGGCCCTAATGAAGTCTAAAGAGTGACAAACAAGATCTCCTTGCGAAGGTGGCATTGAGGCTAAGTCTTCGATTGGTGGGGCCTCTCTTGGGGAGAGAAGGATGATGGATCTGACCTCGATCCCAGAACCCTCATTCTTTGTCTATTTGAGGTCGGTTCATTTAGGTATTGTGTGTCGTACTGAGTACTGGGGGCCCAACAGCCTATGGTGCTTCTGACGTTTAGGGAAAAGCTGCTGTGAGGGTAGATTGTTACCAGCAACAGACCACCAAAACTTGAAGGGAGACGAGGAATGGGCTGTGGTACTTGTATATCCATGGGCACTGTTGTACAAGTACATTCCTTCTTGTATTCCCCTTCTTGTATTTGAACACATGGTTCCTAGCTGGTGGCACAGTTGAGGAGGTTTAGGAGGCGTGGCCTTGATTTACAGAAGAATATCCCTGGGGATGGGCTTTAATGTTAGAAGCTTCACACCACTTTTAGTTTTCTCTCTTCTTTGTGCTTGGGTGTGAGAATATGAGCTCCTGGCTTCCTGCTCTGGGTGTTGTGCCTCCTGCTTGGTGCCATGTTTCCTCACTGTGATGTTCTCTTATCCCTCTGGACCAGTAAGTCAAATAAGCTCTCCTTTGTATAAATTACTTTTGGTCCTAGTATTTTATCATAGCAGCAGAGCAGTAACCAATGCCTACCTTTTTAATGATTATAGTATATTTAATTTTTTTTTAGCCCAAAGACAATTTTAATAGAACTTGAAAGAAAAATAATAGGGCAGGCAAGATGTAAGTCTCAGCAGTCCTGGGAGGACAGAGATGGAGAAGAGGAAGAGGGAAGCCACACCTCTTCAGTTAGGGTCCTAGGAAGCAGACACATTTGGCAATGGACACTGAAAGCCACTATAAAAAGGGACAGGGTTCTTCAGAGAAACAGTGAGAAGGTCCAAAGGAGACTCCAATTCCCCCAAATTCCAAATATCTAGAATACCCCAAAGTACTCCAAATATTCAGAAATGGGCTCAGCCTGGACTCTAGGAGGATTTCTGGTGGTTAGATAAAAGCCAGTGTTCCTCAGGAACTTGTGAAGCTGGTTCCTGAATACCAGAAGGAGTCATTTCCCTTATCACTGGCAGAAGGGACAAATGGCCGTCTGTGGTGCCTACTCATATACCAAAGTGCATGCTGGCCTCTAGGCTCACAAGTACTTGTTACATATTTCTAAGTTACATTAGGGTCCTAGCCCTTTTCAGCTCGCCTCCCCTAAACTCCCTCCAGTTCATGGACTTCCCTCCCTGCAGCTACTCATTCTCCTTGTGACCCTGCTATTTCTCAATATCTGACCACACCCCTCTCTCTTTGCCCCCCCCCCCTTCTCTCCCTCATTCCACCCTCTCCTGTCTATCTGTGATAAGGATGCAGATGCCTCAGAAGGTGACAGGAGCTGGTGTGATCTATGACAAAGGAATAGGAAACCAGCACAGATTCCCATGACCCGAGGCTTAAGCCCCCTCATCAAGTCCCATCCCTTTATAACCATCCTGAGCCATGTCAGGACCGAGATGATTACCTCCCAATAACCTTGTTGCCTATTCCTGTGGGATGAGTCAGAGCCACGATTATCATTAAGCTTGAATCTCAGAAAGCATCTCTCTCATAGCTCCCCAGACCAGGGTCAAGTTTCCTCAGCTGCCCTACCACTTACCTTTCTTCCTTCCTTACCTCTCCCTTTCTCCCTCTTTTTCTGACAGTGTTTCATGCCATCCAGGATTCCCTCAAATTCACTATGTAGGCAAGGATGATCTTGAATTCTTTTTTAAAAATTATAGATTTTTTTGAGATTATAATATATACATCATTTTCCCCAATTTCCTCTCTCCACATCCATATACCCCTTGCACTTTCAAATTCATGGCCTCTTTGTCTTTAATTATTTACACACACACACACACACACACACACACACACACACACACACCCACCCACCCCTAAATACATAAATATATAACCTGTTCAGTCTACATAACATTATTTGTAGGTAAGCTTTGAACTCTATCCTTGCTTCTGTATCCTAAGTACCAGGCCAGCAAAGGCACCTGTCACTAAACCTAGCTCCCTCAGCTGAATTCCTTTAAAAAAATATATTATTATGCATATTTATGTGCATGCACAATGTGTGTGGGGGCATACATGTGCATGCGTAATGTGTGTGTGGGGGGCATGGATGCACAGCGCGCACGTAGGGGTCAGAAGACAATTTTTTGGAGTTGGTTCCCTCCTTGCACCTTTACATGGCTTCTGGGAATTGAACTTAGGTCTCCAGGCTTGCACTGACAGCACCTTTACTGCCTATACCCACTGAGCCATCTCACTGGTCTGCCGAATTCCTGCAGCTCTTGAAGAGGTAGCTTACCCACCTAGACATGTCAGCAAGCTCGTCTTGCCAAGCTAATATCTTTTTTTTTTTTCAAGACAGGGTTTCTCTGTGTAGCTTTGCGCCTTTCCTGGAACTCACTCTGTAGCCCAGGCTGGCCTCAAACTCACAGAGATCCGCCTGCCTCTGCCTCCCGAGTGCTGGGATTAAAGGCATGCGCCACCACTGCCCGGCGAATATCTTTATTCTTTCAACGGCTCCCCACTTCCCCTCCAACACTGCTCTTCCTGTTCTGCCCTGGTAGTTCTGCAGGGAGATTAACCTAGAAATCATGACCTGCCATCTCATGTCCCAGCTTTGTACCTCGTCACAGTCCAGGAGGTCATGGTCCCCATCTCTCCATGATTTGGCCCTGGAGATACACCTAAGTCATTCAGACCCATCGGCATCACACCCTCCTGACTTGCCATCTATGAAATGGTGGTCAGGACTCGGAGCAGGGAGGCGGGGAAAAAGCCACCATTCTGGTGATTACTTCCAATTGTATCCTAACGTGTCTCTCCCTAGTTAAGGGAACAGTGAGATAAAAAGCATGGAGGAAGGAATCTTACACGTGAAGCAGTGTGAAGGAACAAGTAGATACATACACAGGTCACAGTCTGTCAAGATAACTCAGTGACACTTCCCCTTCATCCCAGCTCAGATGCTGCTCTCCGACGTGAAAGCATCTGTCCACAACCCATGTTCAAGGATGCTTTACACTTGTTTGCTTATATGTCTGTCTCCTCTGTACCAAGAGCTCCGTGAAATTCAGCCCTGGCTCTTAGCCTCCCTAGGCCCCTGAGAGTCTGGGTTAGGGCTTGGGACCTAACAGATGCTCAGTGAATTTTAGATAAGTGGTGAGCCTCTTTCTCTGCCCCTTGGATGGGGTATGACAAGGAATCTAATGCTTACCAGCAATCTGGGCCCACCGTTGGTGGACCAGACCCCACCCACACCATGCTTACCTTTTCCTCCCCACTTACGCAGTTCTATGCTGAGCCCTGTCTTTCCCCCCAACTTCTTACTTTTGCAATAGTCATGAAGCAAGCTGCAGTGTATCTATGTGGCCTCTGATAAGAGCGGCAGACCTGCTGCTAAGTCCTGGGGGAACCTGGGTGAGCTGTTCCCTCTCTTCTGGGCCTCAGTGGTTCTATCTGTGAAATGACCCAGAAGGACCTTATGGTTTAGGGAGTCTCTGGCTTGCTGCTGAAACAAGTACCTCTGGTTCCCAAGCGCTCCTCTTGATCTTCTAATCAGTGTGCAGACATGAAGATGGATGGTTACAAAACTCCTTGCCAGGTGTCAGGGAGGGGTTGGGGGCAGGCAATATCTGATCTGGAACTCCCCTGGTTGACAGGTCCTAAGGCCTGAGGACAATGTGGAGAGCATATTACCAGCCCCTAGGCCTTCTCCCGTGGGGATATGCAGGGTGAGCATTCAATCCTGGGCCCAGAGCCCACAGAGGCTCTGGGTCAAAGGCTGCGCCCACCGGTCAGAGAGGAAGAAGGGCACAATATGAGCACTGCAAGCCCCATAGACACCCCTCCTCCCCGAGGCTTTTCCCATTTCCTTCCTTTTTTTCTCCCACTGTCATTTGGCCTTTCTTTGCATTTCGCTCAGGCACTATGAACATAGGCTCAGAGGTACACAACTGAGTTCCAGTATAGGTTGCGTTCCTTGAGGGCTGTGTGAACTGAAGCCAGTGAATGGACCTTTCTGAAACTCAGTCTCCTGGTAGGAGCAGTTTGTTGATAATTCTTGCTACCGAGTATGAGAGGATTAAATGAAATAATCCACAGGATTCAGAACATGACCTGACACAGACTAGGAACTCAGCAAATATGTTGTTAATCATGTTACTACCATCGGTATTTATACAACACCTTCTGGCTGCCACTCCAGTGTTCTGCCAATTAATGCCATTCTGACTCATGAGCTTGCTGCCTCCGTGGCCCTGTGAAAATTGTTGGGCCCTCTCTGAGGCTCAGATGCCCTTCCCTGGGAAGGGGTGGTTATAACACCTTCCTCCTATGGTTTGAGAAGCACTGAGTAAGGTAGGCAATGACCAACTGTACCAGTTAGACAAGGAGATTTCGAGAGCGGAAAGGGACGCCATTAACAAATGCCGCACAACAACAGGCTCCAACCAGGGGGGATGATGTCCCTGTGAACGGGGCACTGAGTTCCAGATCCAGTTAGGGCCTCTGCAGATGGGGGTTTTGAAATTGCCACCTCCTTTCCAAAACCACTTCCCCTCTCTTTGGCCATCCCACTCCACTGCTCATACACACTGGTTTCCATTTCACTCTTTCTTTTTCAGCCCTGCCTGAAGTTACTGCCCTGCCAGCCTTGAAACAATTTTTAGCTCATCTTATTCGATCCGTCCTGTTGCTATGGAGACACAGAGGCTCACAGTGCGCAAGGGACTACTCCTACTGCATGAGTGTCAACATGTCATTTCTCCAGCTCCAGGGACAAGAGTTTTAGAAACAGCCTGTTGCACTTCAGGTTACTCTCCATTTGGCCCTGCTCCCACTCCTGTGCCCGCCGACCTCATGACCTCCTCTCCTAGCTCAGGGATCTACCAGTCATCCCTAAAGACCTGCATAACAGAAAGCCCCGTGTATAGAAGGCTGTGTCCTACTCACTTGCTTCCTGCCATGATCTCCACACCTACCCTAGATTTTCACACCTTTTCTTCTTCCACACCACAGTGACACCACAGAGCTAAGTGACAATTCTCTGTCCCAGCCTGGCGCGGTACCTAGTGAGACTGAGCACAAAAACCCTAGCTGAAGCTGGCCACATCTTCCAGACTCAGGTCTCAGTATAATTGTTTTTTAATAGGTTCCATTATGACTCTGCCCTTAGTATGCATCATGAACACCTGAGCTCCACAGCTAAATGATTAATCGGGGAGTTGCCTAAGGC